CCACTGCATCATATGTGCTTAGCCTTGTAAAACTTACAAGAGAATCAGGTCCCGCTCCTTCTTGGCGCAGGCCTAGTGAGATTCCGTTCCAAGGTAAGGCCGCAAATTTTATAAAAGTGATTGGATTTGTGCAGCGCCCAATTTAGATCTAGAACTTACCTGATGGAAAGTGTATGGCCGCCGCTGTTATTGTTCAAAATAACAGTGAATTTACTGATTCCACGTCTTATGTGTCTGGACGATTGTGGTTTTGCGGCCCAGCGCATCGGTATCGGGCGAGGATATCAAGTTTTACATCACTGATTTGTTGTCAAGGCTGAAAATCGGGCGTGCCCAGATGAAGAAAGAAGCTCTGGTGGCCTTCAATGAAGCGATTCAAGAAGATGAAAGGTATGTGGAAGCCGCCATTGAAATCAATAACTTCATAGTTGTGCTAGTGCGCCTTCTTGATTTTTAAGAAGTCGGCATTCACCAAGAGGCTGCAAAGGCGGCATCTGTAATTGTAGGTTTTTAGCCCTTCAGACTTGTTAAGTTTCTTGTGAATCTGCTGGTATTTTACACCGCCTAAGAATGAACAACTATAATATCTTGCTTGCCAGCCCAGAAAATGCATTTGCTGCACTCTTTAGTGCTGCTAGTATCATGTGGGCCATGTGGCAATGGAATGCTTTACTCAGAGAGGATGACCTTACGGGAAAGAATTTTAATCATCCCCAGATGGCTATTACAAATTTACAAGGCACCTCTTGAAGACCCTTTTGCTTCTACTATGGACCACAGAGCCTTTGACTGTTCTCTGGCTGCGACGAGGGAGAGGAAGAGTGTAGGACAACAGAGAGGCGAATGAGCATGATGAATTGAAGCTGCAGTCTGCAACGACAGAGCTTGGCTGATGAAGAACAACACTTGAAAGGACAAAAATGTCCTTCTATTTCACAGAGCCTTAACGTCAATTGTGACGGTGGACTAATATTGTCCAACTTTAGTTAAGTTTGGACAAAATGTGGCAAAATTAATAAATGCGGACTAAATGTGTCCAACGCGCAATAAATGTAGGACCAAAAATGGATTTAACTCTATTTAAACTCTATAAACCTATCTAATAAATTCAATAAAATTATTTCTTTCTTATCCTATATTTTCCTCATGTTGATGTTGATGTTGTTTGCAGTCTCAAATTGCTATTGCAAATAATAGTTCTTTGCGTGATGCCTAGCAATATATCAAGGATAATTATATATATATATATATATATATATTATTAATATTAGATTTTTATTTTTTATTTTATGCAACTTGTAATTATATTTTTAAATATTTTATTTGATCAAGTCTTTTATTATAAATTTTATTGTTCAATATTGTTATGAATTTCTAATGAAATAATTTTTTTTTTAATGTTTATTAATAATATATAAGTAATTAGCATATAAGTCTCAGCATACTATGGATAAAAATAACAATGTTGATGTGGATGAAGAACTATATAATAAGAATAATTTTATGATATATTATAAATGTTTTGTAAGAAAATTGTAAATAATAAGAATCAAAATCATTGAAAGTTTGTAAGGATGTATTCAATTTAAAATTTCAATGACTTTTGTAGACTTTTTAAAATAAAAAGTTGATAAAAGTCTATGAATGTTTTTTATATAGACTTTTATAGAGTCTTAAAAAGTTTTAAAAAGTTTTGAACGACTCTATGAAAGTCAATCAAAGTTTATTAAAATCTATCATTTTAAAAGTCTTTAAAACTCTATAAAATTCATGATTGAATGCACCCGCTTAAAACTTTAATTTGAATTAAGTTTAGTTAAAATGAAGATATAAGTACAACATTGCTGGAAAACTGGTTAAGTGTGGCCTAGATCTGGTCCCCGTGTTCTTGGATTTATTCATTTTTTTCTTCAAATCCAAACAAAACCATTGATAACGAGCTTGGATGTGTGACTTCTATTAGTGTTGGAATACCTTGCAGTTTGACAGTGAAACTTTGGACTATTTATTATTATTTAATGGTAAATTTTGCGAGAAGGTTTGAAAGTAAATTTTAAATATGTGTCGAAAATTAAAAATAAAGTTAGAGGATATAGAGTGATACAATTGAATTTACTGAGTGATTGAATTTACATCCTTCTAAATGCTTTATTGAGTCAGAATGTGAAAGTCATTGGGATTGAGGATTTAACCTTTTGGAAAAGAAATTCATTTGAAAGAAAAACAAAAATAAAAAATAAAAAATTAATGGCAGTCACCACTATGGATGTATATATATCCATTGATCTAAAACCACAGCTGCAGAAAAATGCGTGGCAAATAATGGCTGGTGGAAATCTGGTACTCATTGTATTGACTATTGACTATTAAAAGTCACCTGATAGAGAAGTTAATTTTTTTTTTTTTTTTTTTTAAGTATGGCACTCCAATTTTGAAAAAGGGAGAATGAAAAGTTTTGAATATATCTCAAACTATTTATTACTCCGTAGTTCTCCAAAGTGTTTACACACTAATACTCACAATACAGTATTTGCACCTTATAACTGATTGAGAAATAGAGCTATTAACACACTTTAGATAAGTGAGATATGTCTCGACACATAACTAACTTGCTATCTAAGTATTTATCAATATTACAAATAATGTGATAGGCCCTCTGTGTGCACCAAATACATGTTCTTTTACCTAAAAGATCGCTAAGTCACCATAATTTACCCATTAATTATTCTATATGACAGGAATGTGAAGGCCATGATACGAGAGATTTCGCCTTTCGCGGATAATAGGTTGTTTTATGTTTTAGCTTGATTGGTTGGATGCTGCCATGACCATGCACATAGTTGCAGGCTGGGAATAGGAAAATAGTTTGTTTGATTGGTAGTGCTTTAGTTCACAAAATGATACATTGCATGTTGTTTGTGGCGGTATTAATTCATTTAACATAAACAAAATAAATAAATAAATAAAAATAAAGTAAATAAATAAGAGCAAAGATTGATTAAGATGTGAATGATTACTTCTATCAAATTGCTTATGACATAAAATTGTTTTGCATAGGATAGAAAGTACGGTGTATTTATTTATTACAATATTGTAATGTTTCGAGTTGGACTTATTCCATACCTTAATTATTTTGTCGCTAACTCCCTTACTACCGAGCTGCTAGCTAGTGTAAGTGGAATTAGCCAATAGGAGTGTTGAAGTTGGATGTACTTAAACCATACAATGAATCACACTAACAAAAGTGCACACTAAACTAGGATGCACTTGTGCCAAGACTGAGGCTTTGACCCAAGCATATGAGGTCGAAGCCCGGCCAGTCTTGGCACAAGGCTTAGTCGGCTCTCGACACACACCTACTTAAGTTCAATTGCACTATTTTAATTACTTCAAAGTCTTATTTAACACTTTTCATTATTTTATATATGGACAATACTACACATTCTCAATTTCTATTATAATTTTTACTCATAGTTTACATGACATATTCTGATTCGTTAAAAAAAAAAAAAAGAGAGATAATCACTATTTTGGCATGCATCTCAATTGTTTTCTAACTGTCAATGTAGTATATAGTTTTCAATTGTAACCAATTTGATCCTCGAATTATGTAAAATTTCGTCAATTAAATCCTTTTAGGAGTCAAAATGGTAATTTTCACATTTTAAAAATTTTAACAATTTGGTCACTGAAAGGATTTACTTAACGAAATTTTAAACAATTCGATGATTAAATTGATTGAAATTGAAAATTAGGAACTATATTAACAATTAGGAAACAATTGAGAGACTAAAATATTGATAACTTGTTTTGCGATATGTCAGATACCGAATGATACTTTGACAAATTCTGAAACATTAGGGTGTGTTTGGAAACCTGGAAAATGAGTTCTGGAAATCATTTTCCAAGTTTCCATTGTTTGGATGTGCCTGGAAAATCAAGTCAACGGAAATCATTTTCCGTTGATTTTGGAAAATAGGCTCATTTTGGAGGAAAATGACTTCCCATTTTTTTGAGGGGAAGTCATTTTCCAACTTTTACACCAACATCACACCACCACCAACATCATCAACAACATACCACCGCAACCACTACCACCACCAACACCATCAACACCATACCACCACCACCACCACCACCACCATACCACCGCAACCATTGTCGCCGTCACCACCACCACCGCCACCACCACCGCCGCCGCCACCACCACCACTATACCATCGCAACCACTGTCGCCGCCACCACCACCACCATCACACCACTACCACCACCACCCCCGCCATCGCCGCCACCACCACCACCATACCACCGCCACCGCCACCACCACCATATCACCGCAACCACCGCTACCACCACACCACCACCATCACACTGCCGCTGCCGCCGCCACCACGACCACGACCATACCACCGCAGCCGCCACCACCACCATACCACCGCAACCACCGTCGCTGCCACCACCACCACCATACCACCGCAACCACCGTCGCCGCCACCACACCACCACTGCCACTGCCGTCATACCACCACCAATTGTTGTTATTATTATTATTATTATTATTTATTTCTTTATTATTATTATTATTATTATTACTATTATTATTATATAACAAATAACACAACTACCACCACCACCACCATAATATTTTTGATATATTATTAGTTTTTTTTATTATATTTAAAATTATTATTATATTATTATATATTATTATACATGTTGTAATATTCTAAATAAAATAATTAAAATGTTTAATTATACAATTCTACTCATTTTCCAGAAAATGAACCAAACACACAAAAACAGTTTTCCAGAATGCAACCAAACACTGGAAAGGAAAATGTTTTCTGGAAAATGACCAGAAGTCATTTTCCTGCTTTTCAAACGGACCCTTAATTTAAAAACACACATTGAATTATTCGCACAATACGCGTGTGGTAACTAGTCCTATTAATAAACTCACCACATGTTGTGGAGGAAATTCTATTTTGTGATAATAGTCTATATATTATTTTCCATTACTATATATGTTTATTTAAACATACTACTCCATATATGTTTATTTAAAGTTTAAAACATATACGGCTCTATGGATCGCTCCAACGGCGTTACGAGAAGAGACACGTACCCGTCTGAGCTCGAAAATGGCGCAGCAATGGCGGACGTTGGCGCCAAGAGAAGTGATGTTGAGAGAGAAGGGGAGGAAGAGGAGGATGTGTCTGTGGAGAAGATTTTTGAGAGCAAAGAGGTGCCTTCATGGCAGAATCAGCTAACACTGAGGGCTTTCATCGTGAGCTTCGTCCTGAGCATTCTCTTCGCTTTCATCGTCATGAAGCTCAACCTAACCACTGGGATTATACCTTCCCTCAGTGTCTCCGCCGGCCTATTGGGCTTCTTCTTCCTCAAGACTTGGACGAAATTGCTCCAGAAATCTGGGCTTCTCAAACAGCCCTTTACCAGGCAAGAAAATACTGTGATTCAGACTTGTGTTGTTGCATCTTCCGGCATAGCCTTTAGCGGTAAATCCTCCTACTCATTTCTCACACTAATAATGTCAATACTTTGATTACTTGATACTCAATAGATTACATACCGACGTGTTTGGTAAATAGTTGTTAGCTGTTGATTGGGTTATTGGGTTTGATTAGTTGATATCATTAGCTGAGAAAAACTGTTTAAGAAGTTTTTAAAATTTTAGTATTTTGGAGTAATAAATTGTTACAAAAAGCTAATTAATCAAACATTCATATGAATAGTTTAACCAAGGTCAAATAATTAATAATGGTCAAATAAGTCAAAATTGACTGATACGCTAACTATGTTAAAAAACAGGGCCATAATTAGGGTGTTCAATGAACTTTAAGTTGTTTGGGCTCTTAGTCCCATGACTATTGGACCATTTCTACATTTGTATCTTGGACTATTAATTTTTCTATATTTCCTTGACATATTCAGTCACTAGTGATCAAATTTCAAGCAAGTGGTTAAGAGTGATCAAATTTCAGGCAAGTGACTAAGAGTAAAAATGTCATTTTATTACTTTTTTCTTAAATATCCGGCGAGGGTGATCACATTTGGTCCCTCCGATCTAATTTTTTTTATCATTGGTTGATCAAATTTCAAGCTAAGTGACTTATCTTAAAGGTAAAATTGTCATTTTCTATTACATTTTTCTTAAAAACTTCTAGGGGAGGGTAATTGGAAATGACAATTTTGCCCTTTAGGTAAGTCACTTGCTTGAAATTTGATCACCGGTGACTGGTCGAAGGGACTAAATGTGGCAAGAATTTGAAATTTGTGGAATTAAATGTGAAAAAATTAATAGACGAGGACCAAAAGTGGAAAAAACTCGAACTTTTGTGGAGAGATTATATTGTCATGAATTTGGATGAGCAGGAGGTTTTGGCACCTATCTGTTTGGAATGAGTAGTGTTGCTGCTAAACAATCAACAGAAGCAAACAATTCTCAGAACATTAAAGAACCAGGGCTGGCATGGATGATTGGGTTTCTCTTTGTTGTCAGCTTTCTTGGACTCTTTTCAGTGATTCCCCTTCGGAAGGTACTTTCCAATTGATCAGATTAGGAAGAATTCTTGGAGTTCTGATTGCTGATTGTTCATCATATTTTCAGATAATGATCATAGACTTCAAACTCATTTATCCAAGTGGCACTGCAACTGCTCACTTAATCAACAGTTTTCATACCCCAAAGGGAGCTAAGCTGGCAAAGTATACAAACTTTTTGAATTATGACTGCTCGGTGCTGCTGCGATTTTGTTGTTTGATTTTTACTGTTTCGTTGTTCTAATCGCTTCTGCAGGAAACAAGTTAGGGCTCTCGGGAAATTCTTCACCTTCAGTTTCCTCTGGGGTTTCTTCCAGTGGTTTTTTACTGCAGGGGGTGACTGTGGATTTGTAAATTTCCCCACATTTGGGCTCAAAGCCTATGAACACAGGTTTGTTTCAATCCTTGTGGTGAATATGGATTAGAAAAGCTTGGAGTTCGTTAAATGTTTGTAATGTTTGCACTCTTTTGCTATGCAATGCAGGTTTTACTTTGATTTCTCGGCGACTTATGTGGGTGTTGGGATGATTTGTCCATATCTGATCAACATATCTTTGTTACTTGGTGCAATCCTTTCATGGGGGATAATGTGGCCACTCATACAGGACAGGAAGGGACACTGGTATCCTGCAAATCTTGGGGAAAGCAGCCTTCATGGCTTGCAAGGTTACAAGGTAATATTCTTTCTCCTCGAAAAGGAGCCATCATGGTTAGTTCAGTTGGTTCCTGGGTGGCAGATTACGGGCAAGACGCAAGATCAAGCCCTGAGAGCCTCAATGTGAGAGTTACACCCAATCTAGTGGACTCCTTGTAGGCACTGTCCTAGTGTCTTCCCATCTAATGAACCGTTGAGTCACCTGATTTACGACCTCCATAAATCCGGTTGGGCTAGGGTGTGAGGCCTTGGGGCAAGGGATTTGGCCTTTTGTGAGCAAGAGATTAGAAAAGGAACCAGCATGGGTAGTTCAGTTGGTTCTTGGGTGATAGATTATGGGCAAGACGCAGGATCAAGCACTGATAGCCTCAGTGTGGGAGTTACACCCAATCTGGTGGGCTCCTTGTAGGCACTGTCCTCCCACCTAATGATCCGTTGAGTCACCCGATTTACGACCTCCACAAATCCGGTCGGGCTAGGGTGTGAGGCCCTGGGGCAAGGGATTTGGCCTTTTGTGGGCAAGGAAAATGAAAATGAAGGATCATTAACACCTTTGGTCTCATTAACTGCAGGTTTTCATAGCAATTGCCATGATTCTTGGTGATGGTCTCTACAACTTCTGCAAAGTCTTTGGGTACACATTATATGGATTGTATCACCAATTCAAAAACAAATCGGTCCTCCCGGTTGCTGGGCGATCGCCAAGTGAACCTTCATTGTCGATTGATGACAAGCGAAGAACCGAGCTTTTCTTCAAGGACCAAATCCCGACGTGGTTTGCAGTTGCTGGCTATGTAGTGATTGCCATAATCTCCACAATATCACTCCCCCACATCTTCCACCAACTTAAATGGTACTACATTGTGGTGATCTACATTTTTGCACCAATACTAGCCTTCTGCAACTCTTATGGTTGTGGCCTCACTGACTGGTCATTGCCATCTACTTATGGAAAGCTCGCAATCTTCACAATCGGGGCGTGGGCAGGGGCTTCTAATGGCGGGGTTCTTGCGGGTTTGGCAGCTTGTGGTGTCATGATGAACATTGTCTCCACTGCCTCAGACCTCACGCAGGACTTCAAGACGGGTTACTTGACCCTGGCTTCCCCTCGGTCCATGTTCGTTAGCCAGGTCATTGGAACAGCAATGGGTTGCGTGATCTCCCCTTGCGTGTTTTGGCTCTTCTACAAGGCCTTCCACGACTTAGGCCAACCCGGTTCACAGTACCCCGCCCCCTATGGTCTTGTCTACCGGAACATATCCATCTTGGGGGTGGATGGGTTCTCAGCCCTGCCAAAGAACTGCCTCACTCTCTGCTACATCTTCTTCGCTGGAGCCATTGTCATCTGTGGCGTTAGGGACGCTGTGGGGAAGAAGAGGGCGCGGTTTATTCCCATCCCGATGGCAATGGCGATACCGTTCTATCTGGGCAGCTACTTCGCCATCGATATGTGCTTAGGGAGTCTGATTCTGTTTGTGTGGAGGAAGATGAACAAGAGAAAAGCCGATGCTTTTGCACCAGCAGTGGCTTCTGGGCTAATCTGTGGTGATGGAATCTGGACATTACCTCAATCAATTCTGGCTCTGGCTGGGGTGAATCCACCAATTTGCATGAAGTTTCTGTCAAGAAAAGACAATGCAAGGGTTGATACATTCTTAGGTTCTTGAATCAATCTTGATCCATATCTCACTGTCAAACTCAAAACCAGGGTTTAATCTTTTTGAAAGGGATAATGTTCCTTTCAAATTGTTACATACTTACAGTCAGTGTTGCGAAAATCGCATAGGCGCTAGGCGGTCAGCCTCCTAGGAGTCCTAAGCGGTCCCCAGGCGCCTAGCGATTTTTCAACATTGCTTACAGTATATATATGTATTGTGATGTTTCTACAGTCCAAGTGCTAAGATGTAGCAGGAATGTCAAGATTCATATACAAGTGTACCAAGAGTTTGAATGTAATATTCAGTGTGTTTGCAATAGTAAAATACCCAATGTTTGATGTTCCTAGTACTTTGTGTTATCTGGCTTATGATCTTGCTTTGTTACCTTAAAGAGCTACAGATTTACTGCAATCCTTGTATCATGGACCAGATCCACAATAAACATGGTAGATCCTTGGTCCAAATTATATACATATAATTAACATATTATGTACTGTCAATTACTAGATTATATATTTTTATTTAATTAAATGAATGTATATAATGTGTACATAAGAGAAACTTTATTAGTTTGGGATTTTTCTTGGTTTTTCGCAGTTTCAAGTAGGGGAGAGAAGGATCAGGGGAGAAAAAAAATATAAACAAACAAGTCAGGAATCACGCACTTAGCAAGAACATCCCAAAAGGGGAACTTTGGACCAGATTTTAAGAAAGTTGGGGTGAAGTGGAGGAAAGAGAGGGAAAAGAGAGAGAGGGGAGTTGTCCTGCAAAAATGGGGATTTTGTAGGTGAGTGAGTCCCACCAATGGAGAAGGAGAGTTGCGCCTCACACATGTGAGGCGCAACTCCCGCGCCCGCCTGGGCGTGTAATTTATTATTATTATTATTATTATTATTATTATTATTATTATTATTATTATTTCAGATTTTAGTTTTTTTTCCCTCTCATTTTCTATTTCCTAATTACACCTATCAAATCTCCTCAAAATCTTCACACTATTGAGAATGCCCTAAGAGGACAAACTTCAAAAATAATAAATAAATAAATAAATAACTCTCCCCATTTGTGTAAAAACTCCAGTATAATTTTTTCAGTTGCAAAAACCTTACTGAAAATCACAAATTTGATTGCTCTAATAGATATACTTGGTTCATAAAAATAAACTAAAGTTGAATGCAATAGAGATGTCAAATATTTGGGGTGGCATGGAGACTATTTTGTACATAATAACTATATATATAGTTTGCATTTTAACAAATAAAAGCTTAATAGAGAAATTGAAATCCATTTGAATTTACCGAATCATTGAGTCATTATAATTTACGTACATTATCCCAAATGTTGTGTTAGGTCGGAGTGGAGGGACCGTTGGGATTGACGATTCAATTTTTTGGAGAAGAAATCCATTTGAAAGATGGCAGTCACCACGTACTATGGATGTAGTTCCATTGATCTAAAACGACAGCTGCAGAAAAATGCATGGAAATTAATGGATGTATGTTGGAAATCTGGTACTCATTGTATTGACTATTACCTATTAAAAGTCACCTGATAGAGAAGTTGATTTTTATTTATTTTTGGGTATGGCACTGCAATAATTCTGGAAAAGGGAGAAAGGAAATTTTTGAATATATCAATCTCAAACTATTTATTACTCCGTAGTTTTTTAAAGTGTTTATACACTGATGCTCATAATATAGTATTTACATCTTGCAACTGATCGAGAAGTAGAGCTATTAACACACTTTAGATCAGTGAGATCAGATATGTTCCGACACATAACTAACTTGTCATCCATGTATCTATCAATATTACACCTAATATGATAGTCTCTTTGTGCGCACTAAACTAATGCTCTCTTACCTAAAAGGTCGCTAAGTCACCATAATTTACTCATTCATTATCCTATATGACACGAATATGAAGGCCCGGCCCTAATGCGAGGGATTTCGCGCTTTCGTGAAGAATAGGTTCTTCTATGTTTTTAGCTTGCATTGGTTGGATGTTGTGTGGTAGGAAAATAGTCTGTTTGATTGGTAGTGCTTTAGTTCACAAAATGATACATGTTGCTTGTGGCGGTATTAATTCATTTAACATAAAAAAAGAAATACAAATAAAGTAAATAAATAAGAGCAAAGATTGATTAAGATTTGAATGATTACTTGTAACAAATTGTATATTGCATAAAATTGTCAAAGAACATTTTTTGAAAGCAACCAAAGTAGTTATATTATAGATATGCGAAAATAGAGTCCGGGGGACGATGTCCCAATATATAGCTGTAGCATAATTAAAAGCAGTAGAAGCTAAACTATGAGCTAAATAATTCTGAGATCTAGAGACAAAACTAATAATAGCAATATCAAAACTTGACATGTGAGACTTACAGGCTTGTAAAACGTATCTTACGTATGATCAGGGCATAGACATGGATGAAGTTAAGTGCCGTTGTAGTGCATGAAATTGTCAAAGAACATATTAGTACTTTTATTTAATTAAATGAATGTATATAATGTTTACATAAGAGCAACTTCATTAGTTTAGGATATATTTTTTTTAATTTTTACGGGTCCAAATAGAAGAGAGAATGAGAAGAGAAGATGGAAAAAAAAAAGAAGTCAAGAATCGCGTGCAGCTATGCGGGGTGCATAAGTGCACAGAACGTGTGGAATGCGCATATTTCTTTCACCATGTAGGACCCACGCAAAACTAAACTTTGTAGGAAAAAAAAAAAAAAAAAAAAAAACCCTTCCCATTTATGTAAAAACTCCACTATAATTTTTTAAGTTGCAAACATCTTACAAAAATTTCAAATTTAGTTGCTCTAATAAGTTTGCGATCCCCTTGGTTCATAAAAATAAAATAAAGTTGAATGCAATAGAGATGTCAAATATTTGGGGTGGCATGGAGATTATTTTGTACATATATATATAATAATAACTACATATAGTTTGCATTTTAACAAATAAAAGCTTATTAGCTATATATTATGTCTTGTTATTTTGGATCAAATTGAACATTTTGTTATTTTTCTATTTAACTCTTGATACAGCTAATTATACGTAAGCAATATGAAATAACTCGAGACCAATTAAAGCAAGTAAATGTCTTTATTGATCACGGTAGAGGCCCTAAGTACAATCTACTTGGTTGCTCTGAGTACCGACTGACTGCGGTCGGGATTCTCTAACAACAACCTATCGATCGTCCAAAAAGTCCCCTACACTGTAGCTACTGTGGGTATTTATAGCCGTTATGCCGGGGACAAGTCTCCAGCCGTTCGGCATGTCCTCTACGTAGCCACCACGTGTCACCCTTCCGGGTGCCCTGCCTGTCGTCGTGAAGAGCCGCCACGTGTCCTCTGTCAGCTCTCTCGCCAAAGGGCTACCGCTCGGTGGTTGACACCAGCGCTCGGGCAATTCCCGGTCGCTTCCCGACCGGGGTCTTCGTAAAAGCCCGACCTGCTATCTGCAAAGACAGAAAGACAAAGACAAAGGCAATCCGGTCGTGGTGGAGTTTATGTCGGTCGGGATATTCCCTACCAAAAGCCCCCCAGCCCGGGCCTTTTTGACCATCCGGGAAAAAACGGGACGGGATGAAAAAGCCCAACCGTCAGCCACCAAACCGACCGGCCAGCTGTCATTCCTTCCCTCACCACGTGTCGGCCACTGCCGGCCTCGGAATGAGTGCGGGTCGTGTCACGCAAGTGGATTGGTTTCCCGCCTAAATGTTCTCCTATAAATAGGTCCTTGAGGCCTCCATTTGAACTTTCCTCAATCCACTGAAGCAGTCGGTACCCTCAGAGAGTCCCGAGCATCAGTTCAGCGAACCAGTCGAGCAAAGCCAAGCTTCAAGTTCTCTCCAAAGTACCAGCAATCGGTAAGCTCCTGCTCCCTTAGCTCTTTACCTTGTTTTTAGCTTTGCGTAGGAGTAGGATAGAGCTAACATCGAACTAACTTCACGACCCCTGTACTAACCCCGACCGACCTTTAGGTAGAACTAAGCATGTCAGATTCAGATAGCCAGAACGCTTCAATCGCAGACTACGACAACACGGTCGAGCAAAGTAGCGAGGAGGTGGACATCGTGTCCTACTCTCCAGAGGTCGAGCAACGACCGCATCATACACCCGACCGAGCCCCCGAGCCCGCAAGGTCATCAAGCTCGTCAGGGACCTCGGGGTCGACCTCCAGCGGGTCGGGGAGTGACGAGACGTCCACAAGCGGACGAAACTCCCCGGATGTGGGCGTTAGGGAAACGCCTACGAGGGTGATAGGGGATTACCCTCAAGCGGAGCCCGAGGTGGAATACCGGGCCCATGAAGCGGGGGCAGGTGAGGAGGACTCGGCTGGGCCGGCGGCGCCAAACGGGGACGGATTCGAGTTCCTCAACAGTGAGACCGTCGAAAGCCAGCGGAGCCTGCTGACAAAGAGGGAAGCAGGCAAAATTGCAGCAACTCTCGCTGGTCGGGTCGAATTCGACACCAGCAGGCAGCTCGGAAATATCATCGATCGGCACCAGGGGAAGTGGATTGGGTTACACTACGATTTGCTGATGGCTCCGATCACGTTCCCCTTTTCCAGCCTCCTCACCGCATTCCTGGGCTACTACCAGGTTATGCCCGGGCAGATTTGCCCGAACGCGCACCGGATCATCGCGTGCTTTCCCCAAATCTGCAGTTGGCACGACGTATCCTGCACGATGGAGCTCTTCAACTTCGTCTACCAAGTGAAGGTGCTGGCGGCTGCGTACGGGGGTGGGTTTCTGATGATACAATCCCAAGCGGACAAATGCTCGATCGAAGGGCTGCCCGGGAACAACCGGGGATGGAAAAACCGGATCTTTTCAGTAAAGTATGATCCGTGGATCCTCCCGGTTGAAAGGGTCTGGAGTCAACGTTTCCGAAGGCAAGTCACCCCGGTCGAGACCCAGGCCCTTATAGACGCCGTCACCAAAATCTCGTGCGAGATCTATGAGTACCAAATCTTTAAGACGCCCGAGTCCCTCGAAGCGGCTGACTTACCCGAGCCGGTATATGATATACCCCACAAATATAAGCCCGAGCCTCGGGGTGTCACGATCGCGAGGATGCCCGCCCGGGGCAAACGAAAAGGCAAAGGTTTGAGGCTAACTACTTTTCCCGGCCCTTTATATTCCGACTGCTCTTTTTATCTTCCCGACCTAACTGCCTTTTTATTTTGCAGAGATGGCCGAATTCGGGGACGATGACACCTCTCTTCCTCCACCCGTCAAGATCTCCCTTGGCGGCAAAAAGAAGGCAAAGGGGAAGCCGGCCGGGCAGAAGGAGATCCCGGTGGCCCGACCCCTGGGGACCTCGACCATC